CTTTCCTCCAAAGAAGCAGGCGTCTTTTAATTTCATGGTTGCTGTCCCTATCTGCAGTGATAATGGAGCCCAAGAAAGTAAAAATCTGTCATGCCTCCATATCTTCCCCTTTGATTTGCCAGGAGGTGATGGGACCAGTGGCCATGATCTTAGTTTTTTGATGTTGAGCTTCAGACCATTTTTTGCACTCTCCTCTTTCACCCTCATTAAGAGGTTCTTTAATTCCTCCTCACTTTCTGCCATCAGAATAGTATCATCTGCATATCTGAGGTTGTTGATATTTCTTCTGGCAATCTTAATTCTGGCTTGGGATTCATCCAGTCCTGCCTTTCACATGATGTATTCTGCATATAAGTTAAATAAGGAGGTAGACAACATACAACTTTGTCGTACTCCTTTCCCCATTTTGACTCACTCAGTTGTTCCATATCCAGTTCTAACTGTTGCTTCCTGTCCCACGTATAGGTTTCTCAAGAGATAAATAAGGTGGCCAGGCACTCCCATTTCTTTAAGGACTTTCCATAGTTTGTTGTGGTCAACAAAGTCAAAACACCTATAGCCATGACTTAATTATCAAAGAGTGGTCTATAAGCAGTGAACAAATAAATAAAATATGGCTGAATCCTATCAAAATACTGCTCAGTGTACATCCTTGTCTTTGTACTATGTTATTTTACTGATTTTCCCACAGTGTAAAGAATGCACTAGAATGGTAGCATTAATGAGATGAAAACAGAAATTTTTCATATTCTTTAGCTTCATGGTTTTCTGAGTAAGCTAGAACTGAGACATGATCAGAATTCTGGGACATAATTTAAGTGTGATGTGTAAATAAAATCAGAATTCTTTATATTACAATGGAACCGGTGATATGCCCCAGATGAGAAACATCAAAGGAATTGTGCACTCTTGCTTGTGCACTCTTTCTAATACAGAGATGCTAAAGAACAAAAATTTGGTTGAATGTATCTACAAGTGGTTTTAACCCATGCTATTGTTTTCTGATTTAGAATGTTTCCCCAAATGTGTTAGAGGAGTCTGCTGTCTCAGATGATGTTCTGTCTCCAGATGAAGATGGAATGTGCTCAGGAAGATATTTCTCAGAGAATGGGTTGGTAGGACTGCTAGAACAATCTGCAGAACTTTTCAGCACTGTGAGTAGTATTATATTCCAAATTAATGGCTGTATCAGCATTATACAGTAACATGCTTTATTTCTTTAGAATATCCCTCCACTTGCTTGTACTCTTTGAGGTAGCTTGTAAGAATGTAACCTGGCAAGAGTGATACCATGGTCATGAAAGTGGTTTTCCCAGGATGAGATTTATCTCTTGCACTCTGGGTTGTTGACTCCTGCTAAATGCAGGAAAGTCAGCTTGGTAATTTGTGCTGTGGTGGTGTATTAGACCAAATTAGTCACTGTTTATGTGCAGATTATGTGTCAGGAAATACTTGACAGCTCCATAGGGCTTTTTTAACAAGGTGAAGCCTTCAATTCTGCTTTTCAGCAAAGAAATGAAATTGGAGGTTTCTTACACTTTCTGGAGGTATGTTGTTTAGTCCTAAATAGATTGCTGTCCAGTGCAGAAATAATGTGCAACTTGATACAGCCTCTGTAAAGGCTGATCTAAATGAGGCAGCATAACTATTTCTAGACCAATTAAAGGTGTATGAAAGGTGTTACGTAAGTTCCTAAAAGGTTTAGCTATGCTTGATGTACATCAAACATATCCTAGTTAACTATGATGTTGCAAATGTTAAAATGCCATTATCTTCTCAATGCCTCTGATGAATGATCAGAAAACTGACACCAATTTTGATCTTGTTTCTTTTTCATGCAAGGGCGGGCTGTATGAAACTGTAAACGAGGTCTACAAGATTGTCATCCCTATCTTAGAAGCACATCGAGATTTCAGGAAGCTTTCTTTGACTCACAGTAAACTTCAGAAAGCCTTCGAAAGCATAATAAATAAGGTAACTTTCAACAGTATTCTTTGTAGGGCTGCAGTGTTTGTTTACTGATTATGAAGATAAAGCCATGAGTAGTATACAATTTCTCTTTTCCTTTCTCTCCTGTACATTTGTATCTGGAGCTCATGGTGTAGCTTAGATTCTGACTGCAGTGCAGTACCATGTGTGACAGCATGGAGTTCCCACTTGCACCTCTTCCAGTGGAGCGTTACCAGCACATAAAAAAATTGTTGATAAGCTGAGAGTAGATGAATACACTAAAGCCATGATTATCTCAGTGACACTTGCTGAATCCTGAAACTCCCCCATTCAAGGGAATGCTTCAAAGCTCCAGCAAGGAATTACATGCATGTGCAAATTTCTTCCCTTCCTGGAGGAAAGGGTGAGCAGTTTATTGGTCTCAGACTACTCCCATTAAACCTATCCAGCTGAGCCAATGGTGAGGAGTGATAGAAGCTGTCATCTCACAAGATCTGGGGGCCACAAATTGCCTACCTCAAATATAAAAGTGGGAAAGCCCTTCACATATGGGGCTTAAAATTACGTCAATTGACTATGTCGGGTTGGAAGCAAATAGCCCCTTACATGATCACCATGAAACATATTTTACAAGATATACCTAAGGATGCAGAGAATAAAGCTTATTAACTATCTCCAGCTCAGATTTTTCTAAGTATACACCATGTCCTTAATTTTTCTCAGTGTCTAAGTAGTTGCAAAGGGATGTGATCCATTCTGTAGTGAGGATGTAAAAGAGACCTGCTCTAAACACTTTCTGAATCACTATCTGGAACCTCTTTAAGGAATTTCCTATCCTATATGAAGGGGATTCTGCACAAGATAGAAATATGATAAGCCCTGGCATTGCAACCAATGATCCTGTGAGGTGTCATAAAAATATTAAATATGATTCTGCACCCAGTCCTGAAGTAACTAGCTCAGGTGTTACCAGGTATACTCACAGAGCACATGCATGGACTTGCCCATGTACAGAGATACATTGGTAAGGACACTTTGAACTATGGCAATACTGTTTTTTGACACAGATTGGACTGAGTATATCACATTCAGATAGAGTTATTCATAAGGGGAAGTTTATTGAAAAGAATTAAATATAAGACAGAATCACAATAAAGTATATAACTAATATGGGGAAATACAAACTCAAAAGAAGCAAACCCACATGGCTGAGATTCAGGATTGTGAGATTCAGGCTGCTTTGCAAAACGTAAGCAGAATATTTGCAGAATTCCTACAAGGAAAGGAAGAGGGGGTGGGAAGAGAAGCATCTTCTCCCAGAAAATACATTAGAGATGCCAAAGATTACTCTCTTGAATCTTGTTAAACTGTCTTGGAAGTGGGGAGCAAATTACAGAGGTTCCAGGCCAGAAACCAGGCATTCAGGAGAACAACGTAGGTTAGCAGGATTCTCTGGATTCTGGGGGCTAAGAAAGTGATTTCAGCCAAGAAATGAAGTCGGCATAATGAAACCTGGCAGGAATTGGCAGAAGAGTTCAGGCAGATATAAGATACAGAAACAAGATTTACCCCAGAACAATCTTCCAGAACAATTAATATGGCTTTTTCTTTTTTCTTTGGTTTTGGCCTGCAGACTGTTGATCGGGCCGCTTATTAGTCATATTTATTTATTTATTTATTTATTTATTTATCTATCTATCTATCTATCTATCTATCTATCTATCTATCTATCTATCTATCTATCTATCTATCTATCTATCTATCTATCTATCTACTATCTATCTATCTATCTATCTATCTATCTATTTATTTAATTTTTACCCTGCCCCTCTAGACAACGTCTACTCGGGGCGGCTATCTCTTGTTCTGCCCTGATCTTAATCTTTTCCCATTTGGTTAATTCAATCCAATTGTACAAAGACAATGCATAGGAAAAAGAAGATGTGTGACTCTATTTGCAAAAAATGACATTAATATCTTATATGTAATTTTGATAGTGGTCCTTTTAGAGCTATATTCTTGTCATTTTCTCTTGAGGACTTGGGTCAAGACTATTTATTCCTCCTATGCTTATCTTTGGCCTGACAGGTTTTCCAGGTCAAGCAGTCTGTGGCATGTGCGTGCATGTCTTAGTAAGAGTGAGACTGCAGGGGTGTTGTGCAAACCTGGCCAGTTTGATAACATTGGCAGTAAAAACTTGAGGGTGGAGAGGAGAAATGCCGTCCCATTGGAGGATGTTGCTGTGAATCCTGGAATGGAAAAGAGGGCAACATCCTGTTCAAGTCTGATAGCACATGGTTTTTTTAAAAAATTAAGAACACGTTATACCTTTTTCCAAGGGATGTGGTGGCGCTGCAGGCTAAACCGCAGAAGCCTGTGCTGCAGGGTCAGAAGACCAAGCAGTCGTAAGATTGAATCTACACGACGGAGTGAGCGCCTGTCGCTTCTCCTGGCTCACGCCAACCTAGCGGTTCGAAAGCATGCCAATGCAAGTAGATAAATAGGTACCACCTCGGTGGGAAGGTAACAGCGTTCCGTTTCTAAGTCGCGCTGGCCATGTGACCACAGAAGATTGTCTTCGGACAAACGCTGGCTCTATGGCTTGGAAACGGGGGCGAGCACCGCCCCCTAGAGTCGAACACGACTGGACAAAAATTGTCAAGGGGAACCTTTACCTTTACCTATACCTTTTTCCACATTTACTTGTTGCCCAATTTAAATCCATTTGGTGCTAGAAGCACCAAAACAAACAAAAAAACCAACCAAACAAACACATCTAAAATGTGGGTTGACCTGATAATCTAGAAACTGTTCTATGGGATCTATGAAGATGTTCTGAATAAAGGTTACTAGAAAACAGGACATTGATATTTTAGGAGAAAGGAAATTCTATGTACAAGCTTTTGAAGAGAACATAACTTTTGTATATTCTTTTGATGTTTTCTTTGATATTCAGGTTTCCAGTGTCTGATCTTATTAGGGATGTCTCTTTAGCTTATTTTCTTGGAAGCTAGTTATTTCCACTAAGATGTAACATACAGTATACTCAAAATATGCACAAGAGCTCTGTGCAACAGCCAGAAGTTTTGTAAATTAGATTTTATAATTGTAGAAAATGGATCTGTTTTTAAAAGAAAAACAATTCAGTGATTTCATTTTTATCAATCAGGGTCAAAAGAGAATGTTTGGTACTTACTTTCGTGTTGGCTTCTATGGAGCCATATTTGGGGATTTAGATGAACAGGAATTTGTTTATAAAGAGCCTGCCATCACAAAACTTCCAGAGATTTCTCATAGACTAGAGGTAAGTGGTTATACACTTCTGCTACAAACCATATAAAACTGTGGCAGAAGGAAAATATTAAAGAATTATTTCTATGAAAGGACTGTGAATGATAACAATCAGACAAATAAACAGTAAAGATATTTTGTGTCTCTTAGATAATTGTTTACTTTTTAATTAACCTCTGGAGCCTAATTGTTTACCAAACATGCAACCATACCCCCCAAAAAAACCATAAGTATCTTTTTTTTTAAAAAAAATTGTTTTTTTAAACATCCAGCACTGTAATCTCCATGTGCTCTCTAGTTACTTCCCAGGAGCAGTATACAATTTTAACACTTTATGGGTAGCAGTTCAAAAGATAGGCTGATGTGACAAGACTGTGTGTACATGGTAGTAATGAGAAGAGAGTAGATGAAATGGAAAACTCTTACTATGACACCTTTGATTTCATCTTCCTTTCAGAATTTGTGGACCTTCCAAAAACAAAAACAAAAAAACAAAAAAAAACCCCACAAACATCAGGTCTATCTTCACTGGGCTGAAGCTTTACAAAGCTTATAGATACCATTCATATTCAAATTAGAATCCCTAAATGGTTCAGTGGTGTCACCTTAAATGTTTACTCTAATTTTCCACAAGAACACTGTAATTTTGTGTACATTTGCGTCAGAGTCCAGCCTCCTATACCCATTGTGCCTTTCTTCAGGGTGAATCTGAATGGAATTGGGTTGGATATCTGCAGCTTTTTATTTGGGGACAACTGGAATGTCCTTGTGTAGTTGTTTTTATCTCGTAATCTCATTTTTATCTCAGCTGTAGCTGTCTCACAGTCTTTGTTTTTGTAAAGCTTGCTAAAAGTATACAACTCTTCTCAACATAGTTTGGTTTTCTTTTCAGGGATTTTATGGTCAGTGCTTTGGGGAGGATAGAGTCATCGTGATTAAAGACTCCACTCCAGTTGACAAGAGCAAACTAGATCCCACAAAGGTATGCCAGGCATGTCCTCCATGGAGTGTGGAATTTTGTACTGAGAAATCTTAAGTGTGGAAAAACTGTGTGACTGAAGGCTCTATCTGGAATTAATTTTATACCTTTGGCAAACAGTGTAATCTTAGCTCTACCAACGTACTTTGACTTCCTTTAAACTGAGGAGTCAAACTGATAAAAACCCTTCTCTTGTGTTCTTTTTTTCTTAAATGAACTCAGTAAGCATTTTTTCTCACAAACTCTTAATTGTACTTGTTCACTGTATTTGATTCAAAGGCAGACAGTTATGTTCTTGCTGAGGACAAGGCAGCATTCTCAGAACTGCTCTTTACAACTACTTCAGCCTTTTCAAATCCCCTCAGCCTGAACAAGGCAGTCACAGGAAGCTGCTGACACACACAAAGTTGAATGTGACTTTTGCTGCTGTTGCTAAACTATGTGTGGCACTGGGCTTCCTGTGGCTATTCCTCCACAAGCTGTGTGTAGGATTTTTATGTGAGGAGATTGCAAACAGAGATTACCACTGTGGTCATAAGAACATACCTATGCTAATCTTTATTGGGGCAAACTTAAAATCATGTACTTGTCTTTATTCAACCCATACAAAGATAAGTTTTGAGTAAATAAAGTTGCGGTAGGAAAAAAAAGCTGAAAAATTTTCTAGCGGTGTTCAGGCCTCTGAAGAGACAGACTGGAGTTTTACTTATGCCAATAAAATGTGTTAGTCTTTAGGGTGCTACAAGGCATGTTTCTGTTGTTTTAAAAGTGTATCTAGAGAGTCCTGTGTCAGGTATGCCCCTCACGAGAACTCAAAAGAAAGGTACTCAGTACTCGGCTACCTGCACAATACATAACTTATATGGTAATCAGTGCTGGTAATCAGTGCTTCCAGACAAAGGGTATTCTAAAAAGCATGGTGCAGCTATTCTGTCTTTCTGTCCTTGAAAGATTTTATCTATCCAAAAGATAAGGTAGAAGAAACAAATATGAGAGGGCTGCAAATGGGAAGCAGTGGTGTCTAGAAATCCAATAAGATTCCAAAGCAGCCTTCTTGTTCTGCTTTTGTATAAAAAGAAAAGCCTTTGCTCCTTTCTGTAGTGCGTTCTGATAGGTGAGGGCTGTTGCTTAATAGTTACTCTCCCCTCCACATAGATAAGACAAAGGAGTATATAGTTATATACATAGTCACTGCAGCCAGAATTCTATATGCCAAAAATTGGAAAAGTCCGACGGTACCGAAACAAGAAGATCTTATAGAGAAGATATCGGAAACAGCAGAAATGAACATTTTATCAGAAGTGATGAAGGACTGTCCTTTACCAAAGGCAACTGAAAGATGGGAATTATTCTATAAATGGATTGAGTCAACAGGCATCGTATAAAGAGCATACATTGAAATGAGAACTTAAGTTTGGAAGGCAGAAAATAGTAAAAAGAGCAATTTGGAATTTTGACATGGCAATATGTATAGAATGGATGTTAGTATGTTATTGTTTCTCCTTTCCCCCCTTAACCTCAATCCCCTTTTCCTTTTTGTCACCCTTTGTTAAAAATAAAATATTTTTTAAAAATAGTTACTCTCCCCTCCCATGTTGTTTATCACAGATTTCCAATCTTCCCTATTTCTAAACCCCAGAGGACACTTACAGCTGAGGGTGGGGATGGGTGAACCAGATTGCAGTGGAAGATGGTTCCTCTTTCCACTTTTTCCAGATCAGCTATGAGTCTGACAGACTAGTGACAAGGTTAATGTAAGAGTAGTTGGGAAAGCTTATGTTAAATAAAACCTGTCAGTTTTTAAGATGCCATCAAGACTCCTAAGTAACATAACGTGCTTCTGATTTCCAAGGTCTCTTGCACATTCAGCAATTTTTTAAATTGACTTATCATTTACCAGTAACAGAATTTTTCCCTTCCCCTTCTACCCAGGCATATATACAAATTACTTATGTGGAACCCTACTTTGATGACTATGAGATGAAAGACAGAGTGACCCACTTTGAGAAAAATTTCAGCCTCCGACGATTTATGTACACCACTCCTTTCACTCGCAATGGACGCCCCCGAGGAGAACTGAGTGAGCAGTATAAGAGAAAGACTATTTTGACCACCATGCATGCTTTCCCATACATCAAAACTCGAATCAATGTCATCCAAAAAGAGGAGGTAATGCATGTTTCTAATGTGACAGAATTTAGCAAAATGGGAGGCAGTCATGCAACCTTTAAGACGTTCACAGTGAAGATACAAAATGGCGCAATACAAATATTAATCTCCTAAATGGTGGTACAAGATCTTGGTCACTTTTAAACTTGGCATCAGTGGTCTCTAATTTTGACTGCTTGGGCATCCTGGCATGCTTGTTCATCGTGTTAGGCATTTTTCTTCCTCCCAGTTTGTGCTCTGTTTCTTAGGAGAGGGATCACTTTGTGCCCACCTGTTTAGCTCTTTTGCCAGTTTTTGATCAAGTGGCAGAGCAGCAAGAAGGAAATCCATGCCGCCCACTTCTGGTGCTATGTCCATATAAAAATAACCTGTCTGTCTTGTGTTGTCAGCCATTTTGTGCATTTTCTTTGTGAGGAAGTTGCAATATGCTCATCCTTTTGTGGTTTTAGTTTGTTTTGATGCCAATTGAAGTGGCTATTGAAGACATGCAAAAGAAGACTCTCGAACTAGCTGTTGCCACTAGCCAGGTGCCACCAGATGCCAAAATGCTCCAGATGGTTCTTCAAGGTTCTGTGGGAGCTACAGTAAATCAGGTACATAGGGATGTTTAACAGAATATTGTTATCTGTTCGGGGTGAGTGGCCCAATGAAATCTTCACCATTTGCTTCTTCTTGATGCAGAGACCCCTGTCAGTTGTGTCTCCTTCCTAATCGCATAGTATAACACAATGGTATTTTATTGGATTTTCCTTGTAGTTTTATTGTTTATGAAAGCAGGGAAGATCTCTGATCTTAAAGATCTCTCTTTTCTCTAGACATGTATGTAACCCAATATTACATTATTCCCAAAAGGGACCACTAGAGGTAGCCCAAGTGTTCCTGGCTGAAATTCCAGAAGATCCAAAACTGTACCGACATCACAACAAACTGAGGTTATGCTTCAAGGAGTTCATAATGAGGTGAGGAAAGACAAAAATTGAGAGATCTGTTACAACTACAGTTGTGTGTGTCCACCACCGGTAATCTTAAGCATGAGCTGGCTTTACATCAAATGTGTGAACAAGAGATAGAGATAACGTGGTTATTCATGCCATCAACTCCAGAGCAATGACAACACTAGATTGTCCCCATCCTTCCACATGGTGCCATGAGAACACTTGGCTTCAGCATATGATCGAATTTTATTCCAAGACAGATAAATGGCCTAATGTACTCTGATGGAATTAATCAACATATCCTTTTCCCCCCTCCCTTCATAATTTTGGGAACAGGTGCGGTGAAGCAGTGGAGAAAAACAAACGCCTTATTACTGCTGACCAGAGAGAATATCAGCAAGAACTGAAAAAGAACTATAACAAATTGAAAGAGAACCTCAGACCCATGATTGAGAGGAAAATCCCAGAGCTGTATAAACCCATTGTGACAGTTAACAGTATTTCAAGGTATAACAATAGCCTCCTTTTATACTGCAAAACAAAAACAGAAATATGTTATAGAACCTAGCTTAAGCCAGCTTTATGCAAATGCCACAGAATTTCTGGAGGATGACATATTCAGCTGTGTCCAGCCAGGTTCAAATCAATGTGTCAGATGTCCATCAGATCCCCAACAAAACCAGGATTTCTACCATAAATTTGCACGATGCTCTTTTATAACTATGGTGCTGTAAACAATCTGTGCCAACATTCTGCACCAAACTGTTCCTGATTTAGGAATTGTAGAAGAAACCTTAAGTGTTTCTCTTGTTCTTACTGGCCCAAAACTTACAGCAGTAGATATAATTTCCATGTACGTGCCCAAACTATTCTGCTTAAAAAAATAGCCCAGGTAACTAAAATAATACAACCATCATGTTGAATTTTGCAATTAGTGCTGAATTAGAGAGTGATGGTTATGTTCCCCCAAGCAGATACAGTAGTGCAGCTTTTTTTTATTTTAACGGAATTTAAACAAGACAAACATTTAAGGATTCCTTATTAGCTTTTCTCTCATGTTTCAGTTCTGTCCTTTTCAGAGCATGGAAATGCTACTTTTTTAGTTGAATAGTTGAACTGCAGAGCTGGAAGGGACCCTATGGATCATCAAGTGCAGCCCCTCTCAAGGAGGCACAGTGGGGAATTGAACTCCCAACCTATGTCTCCATAGCTAAAGACCTAAGATACTGAGCTATCTGCCTCTCACAGAATTGCCAGCCAGCCAATCATGTATTTCCACACAGCCATCCTTTCCAGAGCTTGTTTGCACACGTGTGCATGTATGTATGTATGTGTATGTGCTATATCTAAGACAGCATTCATTATCTAGATGTTGATATTCTGGATATTTGGATTAATATAATATGCTGTTATGATCAGGCACCCAGAATTAAGTACCACCTTAATTTTTTTTAATGAGTCAGATGATCTAGGTATCCTCCTAGCTATTTATATAACAGAGGATGGGCTATGTAAGTATATGTTTATGCAGCAGCTGTTATGTAGTAATATGTGTGTAATAAGTAATACATGTCATAATAGGTAGTTATCAGAACCACGTATTATAGAATTAGCCAAGACATAACATGTTTTCCCTCCACCTCTGTTGTTTTAAGGAAGAAAAAGCAATCATGTATTTCTGTGCAATTGCAACAAGCAAAACCTAAACATTTCATTCTAGGGCATGTCTTGTAATTTCCATTCTCATGGTCTTGTTGTTTTTAATTTCATTTCAGAGAGTCTTTTCGCAATTCTAGTTTTAGAAAGTATGAAAATCTGCCTCCACAGAACTCTTAAGAAGAGCAGCCTTGTTAGAATGAGCAATCCTCTGACAGCAGTTTGAAAATAAGATGATGTCCAAATGCTGTACCACAAAGGGGACAATTCCAACATTTTGTCTTGCAACATTTTTGTAATGATTGCTGCTGGAAAGTAGCAGGTGTTACAGCAAATGCATTTCCTAAGCCAGTGAGAAGATCTTGGAAAAAATGACTTGAATATTTGTACACAGAGAGAAAACATCCCCATATATTTTTTCTAAAATTCTAAAGACCAGTTAATGAGACTGCATGGTCTAGACAATATTCCCTATATGTTTTACATGTATGTTCAAATATCTGTGAAATGTCCCATGTGGACCTTTGATCATAGACGTCCTATGGACTTTTTTGGAATTAGGACGAAGATACTTCAAAATAATCACGGATTTGCTTCAACACTGTGTAGGGACATTGTTCATAGAACAGATATGAACACTGCCACACAAGCACAATTGGATTTGAAAATAAAAGAATTATGAAAATGTGTAATTCCTATCTGTCTGAAGGAAGCAGTCCTATTGCTGAGGACCTACGTACTAGAGATTTTTTTTTCATGAAAGTTGATGAAATCATACTTGAACAGGTAGGTCTAATTTCTGTAAGGGTGAAAAATTAGTAGGTACTAATTAATCCTGCTTGATAGGAACTTATGCAAAGCAGAGGCTCCACAGGTAAGACAAGATATGTTACATTCAAATGAAATGTTTACTCCTGAAATTATGTTTACAGGCTGCAGGGAACTTGAGGACTTACAGGCATGGCTTTTATTGTGCAATCCGTCTGCCTCAAATTGCAGAATACCTCGTTGTAGTCGGAGTACTTTGTTTTTAAAATTATTGTTCCTATTATTTAAAAAGTAGCACTGTAGTTCTTCTCATTTTTGAAATATGGGATTGCTTCCTGATAGTTTGACTGGTAACGTTCCTTCAAATTGGTTGACACTTGTTTCTGTCACCCCAGATACCATGACAAACAATGGTAAGAATGTTAATTTACATACCTTGTACAAAATTCTGTACATGGTAATGTGAAATAAAAGAATGCTTAAGGGTGAAGGAGCCAGAACTCTTAACTGGTTTCTTTTTCTTAAAGCCCTACAATGTAAGTAAATAAAATAAATGTTTAAACATTTTTTGTTGAATAGCACTATGTCTTTCTTTTTTATCTTTTAACACCATGACTGTCCATATTTCAAATTAAACTTTGAAAGATTTAAAGCACTCATAACTATACAGTGTAGAGACTGTATAGTGTAGAGTTTATTCTCAGCTAAGTATGTTTTATGGCAATTCATTACTCTCATATTCTTATCATGCTTGTCTCCATTGTGTTGTCATTGCCTCCTGGCCTACCATATGTACATACATGTGCAATGAGGCCTGTCATATATTATGTGCTTGTGCCTGAGAACCAGATGAGGGATTTCTGTATTTTAATAATCCTACTTTTTTGATAGTGAGGTGAAGTTTTATACCAGATAATGTTGTTAATTTGAAAGTTATTTGCAAATAGTCTTTCCATTTAATTCTTTTATCTTTCTAACAAAATCTAAGTACCAATTTTGTTCAAGTTTTATGGACAGACACAGAGCTCTTAATTCTTCACACAGCTTTCTCATATTAATTACCTTCTGCCCAGATGTGTATATTATAGAGAGATTCACTAGGAGGTACGTAAACTGGATGAACTGTGTGCTGCTCTTCAGTTCAGGTCTCTTCTGGATCTCCTAAAGCCAATATGGACAGTTTTTCACCTTTTTACATTCCCTTGGAGTGCTACTGCTATTATTTCTTGCCTATTTATACACAGTAGTGAAAGAATATGAGGGGCCGCCATCCAGAATCCTCTGGAGGGCTTCAAGGTGGCCATCTGTTTTCTAAAATAACTACATCAAAATGATGGGAAATTTAGGAAATGTGTTGCTGTGTTTTTGAGCTTGGCAATGGGGCAGTGTAGAATATTCCAGTGTTCTTAACAATTGCTCAGAACATTGCTAGAATGCAATCCCATTAATGGATATACCATGTTCTCACTGTATATGATATCTTTATTCAGCTTTATGTAGCATAGCAGTTGAGAATTTTTTGTCCTTTCTGTTATCTATCCAATTGTTATCACCATGTGTAGAAAGAAGTGACGCCCTTCTCCTTCATTGCCTTTTCCACATGAAAAACAAGATTTTGAAGAACCACAGTTTCCTACACATGGGCAGGAATCCCTCCTATTGAGATATGTCTCACTCCACATGAAGAAAGCAACGTTGGAGAGGGGAATTATTTCCTCTCTAAGTAAATGATAAAATACTAGGGCTGGAGAGGACTTCAAGGGTCTGCCAAAGCAGGAAATCCACACTGAAGATATCTTTGACATGTGATCATCTAACTTATCTAAACACCTCCAGTGCTGCTGAATCCACCAACCTCTGAAGCTGTCCATTCCATTGCCACTTTCACTATTAGGAATTTCTTCCCAATGTTGAGTCAAAATCTCCTTTCTTATAAATCTATTAGTTTGTGTCATACCTCTGGAGCTTCAGAGGACAACTGGGTAGATAACCAAACACTGCTGTGTCTCATCAGTGTAGTAGTGTACCTAACTAAGAGTAGTTTGTTGGGCATAAGCGTTCAGTAAACTCATCTTCTTTCAATATACTTGCAGTTGTATTTTATTCAGTTTATAGCAAAGTTGCTATTTTATTCAGTTTATAGTAAAGCAACTGAACTGAATTTAAAAGGCACATATTAGATAAAAGACCAACAGAAGCCCCTTCGAAGCAGTTTTCCTTTTAATAAACCTGCTTTCAGATCCTTGCAAACTAAACAATGAGGTAATTTCCAACAATCTAGTAATATAATAAAGACTTGGCATGCCTGAACATTGTACCTTTTTAAGTTTAGCACCTTTGCTGAAAAGGTTATTGGAGTATCTTCAAGAATGTGATAAAGAAAGGGAGCATAACAAGTTCTATTTTGTCCTCTCTTTTCTGATTGATGGGTTGTAAAATATTTACTCTTTACAACTAGCTGTAGGAAATCTCAGGTCAGTGGGGAAAGAAACCCAACAACATCTTTACTCAAACAATACGTGCTGTATTTAAATACGCTGTGACTACCCATTCGAAGAAATTCTGCACGTAGTCAAATATCATCATGTTGGTAAGCAACTAGAGGTAGGGCTACTTGTTCAGTGTGATTGATAAGCTGATCCCACCCAGCTTTACATCAAAAAACAGACCAGATTTTATTTGCACTCTCAGTTAAATCAGTTCATAAACACAAAAACATCTTTAAATGACCATAACAAACAAAACTATTCTGGCACCTTTAAGCCTAATATCTAATTTCAGTTTGAGTGTCTATGCATTTTAGTTTCTTTCTTCAGTCACCAAATTCCTTTTGGTGTTAATTTACACTAGCTGAATGCAAATTGGGCATCTGAAATATGTAAACTAATGGAAGGCTTCCAACCTACCTCATTTACGTTCTGACACTCTCTATGGCTTCCTTTTGCCATGGGGAAGCCTTTGGGAACATTGGGATGTGGGTCAAGGGGAAGATTTTAATAGTAAAAAATCACCACCAGTGGCTGGCTGGCGGCTGTAGGACAAACATCATCTCAATGTAATGTCAGCTGTGCTACTGAGTTGCAATGAAGGAAAGCTGTTTTGGTCAACTCATCCAATGGAGCATTGAAATAAGGCTGCCATTTTGAGATCAGGAACTCTAAATGTTACATAAAAACTGTTTGCTCCAGATACGTCTTGCATTATTGTATAGTTTTTGTAGCAGGAAATAATCAGTCAGAAACTGCTATTTCTATTGATCCTTCTTTTCCATATCTGAGATGAAATTTGACTGAACACCTACCCCCATAGGGCCAGTCATAGTACGCAGAAGCTGTATGACAGCCCTGAATATACAATAATGAAAAACAAGGATATTTTGTATAAAAAGTTCTCTTTGGGAAGAGATATGCTAAAGGACATACTTAGTTTTTGCATCCACTCCCACTGGAACTGCAGCCAAGTTTTTTTAAAATATTAAGAACTTTGGTGTGAAGGAGTGTTATAAACTGAAAGAAATCTTAAAGTAAACCCATTGTAACATCTTCAAAGTGCTTCAGGCTTTAAGTGATTGGAGGAAGAAAAATAAAAGGTTGTGTAGTTTAGATTCCTTGGCGTATACTTTGGCACACGTAGGGTTCTTCAATGAAATGACCAAAGGATGCTTGAGAAGCAGAAAATTTTCACCCTCCAAGACTTCTTTAGGACAATTTGCTCTCAAAGCAGACAGCAGCTTACCGAACTCCAAGTGTGGCACTGTAGTACACAAGTATGATAAAAAGAAATATGAGCTCTATAAAAAAGAAGATACCTTGATGGTCAATCTCCTGCTTTATGAGTAAAATTAAACCTGCATACTACAAGGCCAGAACAGGTTCAACAGAGATTTCTGTCAGCATGTGTGATTAACATGGGATAAAAGAAAGCATCAATGAAACAATGGATTCATTTAATTTTTGAACCTTCAAGATTTGTGTTACCTACAAATATTCAACATGGAAATATGCAGTTAAAATCAGAATCCAAACTCTGCCACCATGTATTGCATCCACAGTGGTACGGCTCGAGTTGGGGCTTCCTAAGATTTCAACCCTGATCTGGAAGGCCACAGTCAGCTAGCTTCAAATGTTGACTGTTAAACACTGAAGATCTTCCAACCTATGAGGAAATGGTATTGCTGAAAGCTCTTTGGCCAAACAGCTAGATTTCATACAGATGTACAAATAAATACATGTAGATTTTGAAATAAACCAAAAGCAAGGCAGATGTTGCCATGAGGTCAAATTAGGTGGTCACCTCAAATAGTGAAGCAGTATATTCTCCCCTCCCTCCTCACCATATAGGGAGAGCCCTGTTGCCACCACCTCTTCCAATTATGGTGTCTCTCTCTGTGTGGGTTTTTTAAAAAGTAAATACCATTATCACCCTTTCTTCCTTCTACTCCATTCTGCCCCATTCCTTTTTGTTCGCAACATCTTTTTTTTTAAGGAAGGGAAGAAGCCAGCACTCAGCTTGTTTGTTTTTTTAATTAGGAAGGTGCCTGTGCTACAGTATGATAGCTGAAAAGAGGGCTCCTAAGAGCTGAAGCATGAGGGGATCCTCCACACTGCCTTTTTAAAAAAACTGTGTGGCTGTAATTATGGCGGAAGACTCTGTTTGTCCCCAGTGGGTGCGAAAAGGGAGATCGGGAAGAGCTTTAAAAGGCAAACGGAGATCAAAGAGCCCTTTCCCGATCTCCCTTTTCGCTCCTGTAAAAGTGTCTTACAATGTTTGGAAGCTATTTTAAATGCTTACAATGGTTAGCCCACCTCCTGAACCCTACGCAAACTGATTTTGGTGTTGTTCTGACACTTCGTTAATTTATGATGATTTTTTGTTTTCTCCATTGGAAACCATTAGACAGACCATTCAATGGTTTTCAATGGAGAAAACAAAAAATTACCATAAATTAACGAAGTGTCAGAACAACAAACTACAGTGGTGCCTCGCACAACGGGTGCCTCACACAACGATGAATTCACACAACGATGCATTCCAATGGAGGAAACATTGTTTCACACAGCGATGTTTCCTATGGGGATTTTCACTCAGCGATGGCAATCCGTTCCAATTGGAACGGATTAACCGGTTTTCAATGCATTCCTATGGGAAATGGTGTTTCACAGAACGATGTTTCACACAACGTTGATTTTTTTGGAACCAATTAACATCGTTGTGTGAGGCACCACTGTAATTGTATCTGTAATTTTTTTCATATGTTTAAACACTGAGAAGATTGCAGATTTGAATGTGGTTCCTATTAATGCAGGATTTATTTTTAGTGATGATTTTATTTTCTCAACTGGGGCCCTTTAGTGGAGAACACCTATGAAATCTGGCTCTGCAAGGCACGTAGTTTGCCACCCATTTTCAGAGCTGAACAACATAGTCATCTTCTGAGTAGAACATCAGGTTTGCTTTAAAGGCATTAAGACGAAGGTAAATAATAGGCACCATGGTACTCGTTAGAACAAGTTTATACATTGGTCTCTCCTCAGTCCAGAAAACCTTTGGAGTTTAACCTGTCTTCT